GTACAAAATACCCAGGCAGGTGCTTAGTTTTGGTGGCACGCTCCAGGTTCAGCGGCACCTCCATCTCCTCCGAGCAGCAATTACCAGATCATCGGCATACGTAACATTGTTGAACAATAGGGAGCCATCCTTTGACCGCACTCGGGCATCGATCAGCCTCCCATTGCAATCTGTACCAGATGGAAATTCCTCCGGTACAGCTATTGAAGGCTTCGTGAACTACGTAGTCGAAATAGATGTTAAATAATGTGGGAGCCAGAGGACATCCCTGTCGCACCCATGAAGGTCCTTAATGATATTACTCACACACTTACCATCACACTCACACACTGACACACCAACTCAGGCACTGACACACTCACTCACACACGCACTCACAATAGATTTTAAATAATGTGGGAATCAGAGGACAACCCTGTCACACCCCAAGGTGAACAGTGAATGGCTCCGACGCCCAGCCACGTAGCTTAACCCGGGCTCGCTCACCATCATGAAGGTCCTTAATGATCGTGAGCAGAGGGTCAGAGACTCCGAAAGCACGAAGAACAACCCAGAGCCCAGGCCTACTGATGGTATCATAGGCCTTGACCAGGTCAATAAAGCAGAGATGTAGGTCTTGTTGGAATTCCTTACACCTCTACTGTAGCAGATGGACAGAAAATATGGCATCTGTGCAGGACCGCCCTTTCCTAAAACTACATTAGGGCTCCGCAAGCCTCTCCTCAGCGTGCCTGGTAAGGCGATGTTGAATAATCCTTGCCAGGACCTTTCCCGTCACACTGAGGAGTGAGATGCCCCTGTAGCTGTTACAGTCTGTGCGGTCCCCCTTCTTAAAGAGGGGGACCACCAGGGCCTCCTTCCAATCCTACGGAACCCGTCCACTGGTCCAGACCATTATTATGTCATATAGGGCAGTCTGTGCACAAACGCCACCCTCCCTCAGCATTTCGCTTGGGAGATCATCTCTGCCCAGTGCATTTCCTGGTCTCAGACTCAGGATCGCCTTCAGTACTTCCTCAACAGATGGCACTTCAGCCAGCCACTCACGGCGGGTGACTTCTTCCAATATTTGAGGCACCGCAGCCTTGGCAGGGCCATCCTCACCTTGTGCCACGTTTTCCTGGCTGAGGGATTTCCCTTCCCCCCCCCCCCCAAGACCTCACAGAAATGCTCAGCAAATCTGAAAACCTGTTCCTAGGGATCAGAGATTGGATCACCTTTTTTTCCCCTGATGGTGATTGGTGTGGCGCTGCAGGTTACTTTTTTATGGAATTAAAGAGCGATTTGTGATCGTGGGCCACTGAGGCAGACTCCATCTCCTCAGCAACCCACGACCACCTCCCATCATCCTTGCAGCGCCTCACGGCTCTCCGAACCTCCGAGCGAAGGCTGCGGTAAGCCTCCTCATTCTCTGACGTGGGATTCTGTAGCCGATGACAGTGGGCCTGTTGCTTTTACTCAGCCAGCCTGAACACCTCCTTTGTCAGCCAGGGTTTCTGGGGTGGTCTGGACCGTGTACCCAAGGCAGCCATTGCAGCTGCATGAGCCACAGTCCTAAACCCCGCCCATTTCCCCTCGGCATCAGGAGTGGGGGACGATGCCAACCCCAGCCACAAGCGATGATGAAATTCTCGCTTGCAACTTTCATCAGCTAGCTGAGACCAGGCCACTGTGAGTTTGAATGGGGTCCTGGGTGTACACCCACCACCGGAGCTGAAGAATGGCAGGCGCATCTTACAGATGACTAGTCGATGGTCAGAGGGCAGATCAGCTCCACGGTAGGTCCTGGTGCCAAGGACATGGGCTCGCATCCGTTGGTCCGTCACTATGTAGTCCAGCAGATGTTCTTGCTTGGACCTGGCATGCATCCATGATGTTGTGTGGATGCACCGATACCGGAACAGCGTATTGGTAATTACAAGCCCATGGGCTGCACAAAAATCTAGCAGCCTCCTACCGTTGTTATTGAGCTGATCTGGCCCATGCCCTCCAATCACTCCAGACCAGGTGCCAGCATCATGACCAACTCGGGCATTGAAGTCACCCAACAAGATGACTCTATCCCGAGGGGCCACTTTAGCCAGCACCTGTGACAGGAGGTCATAGAAGGCATCTGACTCATCGGTTTTGCCTGCATCCCTCCACGGATGTTCGTCTTCAGTGGGGGTATAAGTAACCACGACCACCACTCCTTGATGGGAAGGCGAGCCCAAAGTAACCTGGGGCTTACAGCTTCCCACACCTCACCGCCACGCTCCCACGCCCCCTTCATTATTTTGTTCAGAAGAAGAGCCACACCCTGTTGTTTGGCAGTCTCCTGCCCCGAAGTAGAGGACTGTCCACCCCTCATGGCAGGAGCCAGAACCGGTCCATCGGACCTCCTGAATGCCACAGAGATCCAGGCGGTACCGGTACAGCTCCCGACAGAGAAGTGGCAGCCTCTCCTTCACCACCGCTCACAATAACCACCACCACCGCTCACAATAACCACCACCACCACCGCTCACAATAACCACCACCACCATCACCGCTCACAATAACCACCACCACCACCACCACCGCTCACAATAACCACCATCACCGCTCACAATAACCACCACCACCATCATCACCGCTCACAATAACCACCACCACCACCACCGCTCACAACAACCACCACCATCACCGCTCACAATAACCACCACCACCACCGCTCACAACAACCACCACCACCATCACAATAACCACCACCACCACCACCGCTCACAACAACCACCACCACCATCACTGCTCACAATTACCACCACCATCACCGCTCACAATAACCACCACCACCACCACCGCTCACAATAACCACCACCATCACCGCTCACAATAACCACCACCATCACCGCTCACAATAAACACCACCACCACCATCACCGCTCACAATAACCACCACCACCACCACCACCGCTCACAATAACCACCACCACCATCACCGCTCACAATAACCACCACCACCATCACCGCTCACAATAACCACCACCACCACCGCTCACAACAACCACCACCACCATCACCGATCACAATAACCACCACCACCACCATCACCGCTCACAATAACCACCACCATCACCGCTCACAATAACCACCACCACCACCATCACCGCTCACAACAACCACCACCACCATCACCGCTCACAATAACCACCACCACCACCATCACCCCACACAATAACCACCACCACCACCACCACCGCTCACAATAACCACCACCACCACCTCCCCACACAATAACAACCACCACCACCCCACACAATAACCACCACCACCACCCCACACAATAACCACCACCACCCCACACAATAACCACCACCACCACCGCTCACAATAACCACCACCACCACCACCCCACACAATAACCACCACCATCACCACCGCTCACAACAACCACCACCACCACCGCTCACAATAACCACCACCACCATCACCGCTCACAATAACCACCACCACCACTCACAACAACCACCACCACCCCACACAATAACCACCACCACCACCACCCCACACAATAACCACCACCACCACCACCGCTCACAATAACCACCACCACCCCACACAATAACCACCACCACCACCACCCCACACAATAACCACCACCACCACCACCCCACACAATAACCACCACCACCACCACCCCACACAATAACCACCACCACCACCCCACACAATAACCACCACCACCACCGCTGACAACAACAACCACGACCACCCCACACAATAACAACCACGACCACCGCTCACAATAACCACCACCACCACCACCGCTCACAACAACAACCACCACCACGACCTCCCCACACAATAACCACCACCACCACCACCACCGCTCACAATAACCACCACCACCACCACCACCCCACACAATAACCACCACCACCATCACCGCTCACAATAACAACCACCACCGCTCACAATAACCACCACCACGACCACCGCTCACAATAACCACCACCACCACCGCTCACAACAACAACCACCACCACGACCTCCCCACACAATAACCACCACCACCACCACCACCCCACACAATAACCACCACGACCACCCCACACAATAACCACCACCACCATCACCGCTCACAATAACAACCACCACCGCTCACAATAACCACCACCACCACCACCACCCCACACAATAACCACCACCATCACCGCTCACAATAACCACCACCACCACCACCCCCCAGAGGCCGTCCCAGTGTGGGCTGTTTTTATTCATATCAACAGCACGAAGTCTCTCGTTTGACCCCCTCCACCCCCCCCTTAGCCTCCCGAATCTCGGGATTGCCGCCGCTCCGCAGGGCGACTGACGTGGCGAGAGGGGTCTTCCTGAGCTAGCGAGGGAGTCCGAGCGGGTCTCCGAGCGAGTCTCTGAGCGAGTGAGTCTCTGAGTGAGTCTCTGCGTGAGTCTCTGAGTGAGTCTCTGTGTGAGTCTCTGAGTGAGTCTCTGAGCAAGTCTCTGAGTGAGTCTCTGAGCGAGTGAGTCTCTGAGTGAGTCTCTGAGCGAGTGAGTCTCTGAGTGAGTCTCTAAGTGAGTCTCTGAGCGAGTCTCTGAGCGAGTCTCTGAGCGAGTGAGTCTCTGAGCGAGTCTCTGAGTGAGTCTTTGAGCGAGTCTCTGAGCGAGTCTCTGAGTGAGTCTCTGCGTGAGTCTCTGAGTGAGTCTCTGAGTGAGTCTCCGAGCGAGTCTCTGAGCGAGTCTCTGAGCGAGTCTCTGAGTGAGTCTTTGAGCGAGTCTCTGAGTGAGTCTTTGAGCGAGTCTCTGAGCGAGTCTCTGAGTGAGTCTCTGCGTGAGTCTCTGAGTGAGTCTCTGAGTGAGTCTCCGAGCGAGTCTCTGAGCGAGTCTCTGAGCGAGTCTCTGAGTGAGTCTCTGAGTGAGTCTCTGAGTGAGTCTCCGAGCGAGTCTCTGAGCGAGTCTCTGAGTGAGTCTTAGTGAGTCTCTGTATGAGTCTCTGAGTGAGTCTTAGTGAGTCTCTGTACGAGTCTCTGTGTGAGTCTCTGTGTGAGTCTCTGAGTGAGTCTCTGAGCGAGTCTCTGAGCGAGTCTCTGAGTGACTCACAGGGCAACTCACAGGGTGACTCACAGGGTGACTCACAGAACGAGTCTCTGAGTGACTCACAGGGTGACTCACAGGGTGACTCACAGGGCGACTCACAGGGCGACTCACAGGGCGACTCACAGGGCGAGCGAGGAAGGGTTCTCAAGGTGTCTCCGCAGGAGCTGCAGGAAGGCCGCCGCTCCGTCCTGGTCCACGACTCGGCCGTCGCTCGCTAGCGACAGTGAGTCTTAGTCTCTGTGTGAGTCTTAGTGAGTCTCTGTGTGAGTCTTAGTCTCTGTGTGAGTCTTAGTGAGTCTTAGTGAGTCTTAGTCTCTGTGTGAGCCTTAGTGAGTCTTAGTGAGTCTTAGTGAGTCTTAGCGAGTCTTAGTGAGTCTTAGTGAGTCTCTGTGTGAGTCTTAGTCTCTGTGTGAGTCTCTGAGTGAGTCTCTGAGTGAGTCTCTGAGTGAGTCTCTGTGTGAGTCTCTGTGTGAGTCTCTGAGTGAGTCTCTGTGTGAGTCTCTGAGTGAGTCTCTGAGTGAGTCTCTGTGTGAGTCTCTGAGTGAGTGTCTGAGAGAGTCTCTGAGTGACTCACAGGGTGACTCACAGGTCGACTCACAGGGCGACTCACAGGGCGAGCGAGGAAGGGTTCTCAAGGTGTCTCCGCAGGAGCTGCAGGAAGGCCGCCGCTCCGTCCTGGTCCACGACTCGGCCGTCGCTCGCTAGCGACAGTGAGTCTTAGTCTCTGTGTGAGTCTTAGTGAGTCTTAGTGAGTCTTAGTGAGTCTTAGTGAGTCTTAGCGAGTCTTAGTGAGTCTTAGTGAGTCTCTGTGTGAGTCTCTGAGTGAGTCTCTGAGTGAGTCTTTGTGTGAGTCTCTGTGTGAGTCTTAGTGAGTCTCTGAGTGAGTCTCTCTGTGAGTCTCTGAGTGAGTCTCTGAGTGAGTCTCTGAGCGAGTCTCTGAGTGACTCACAGGGTGACTCACAGGGCGACTCACAGGGCGACTCACAGGGTGACTCACAGGGCGAGCGAGGAAGGGTTCTCAAGGTGTCTCCGCAGGAGCTGCAGGAAGGCCGCCGCTCCGTCCTGGTCCACCACTCGGCCGTCGCTCGCTAGCGACAGTGAGTCTTAGTCTCTGTGTGAGTCTTAGTGAGTCTTAGACTCTGTGTGAGTCTTAGTCTCTGTGTGAGTCTTAGTGAGTCTTAGTGAGTCTCTGTGTGAGTCTTAGTGAGTCTTAGTGAGTCTCTGAGTGAGTCTTAGTGAGTCTTAGTGAGTCTTAGTGAGTCTCTGTGTGAGTCTCTGAGTGAGTCTCTGAGCGAGTCTTAGTGAGTCTTAGTGAGTCTTAGTGAGTCTCTGTGTGAGTCTCTGTGTGAGTCTTAGTGAGTCTTAGTGAGTCTTAGTGAGTCTCTGAGTGAGTCTCTGAGTGAGTCTCTGTGTGAGTCTCTCTGTGAGTCTCCGAGTGAGTCTCTGAGTGAGTCTCTGTGTGACTCACAGGGTGACTCACAGGGCGACTCACAGGGCGACTCACAGGGCGACTCACAGGGCGAGCGAGGAAGGGTTCTCAAGGTGTCTCCGCAGGAGCTGCAGGAAGGCCGCCGCTCCGTCCTGGTCCACGACTCGGCCGTCGCTCGCTAGCGGCAGTGAGTCTTAGACTCTGTGTGAGTCTTAGTCTCTGTGTGAGTCTTAGTGAGTCTTAGTGAGTCTTAGTGAGTCTTAGTCTCTGTGTGAGTCTTAGTGTGAGTCTTAGTGAGTCTTAGTGAGTCTTAGACTCTGTGTGAGTCTTAGTGTGAGTCTTAGTGTGAGTCTTAGTGAGTCTTAGTGAGTCTTAGTGAGTCTCTGTGTGAGTCTTAGTGAGTCTTAGTGAGTCTTAGTCTCTGAGTGAGTCTTAGTGAGTCTTAGTGAGTCTCTGTGTCAGTCTTAGTGAGTCTCTGTGTGAGTCTTAGTGAGTCTCTGAGTGAGTCTCTGAGCGAATCTCCGAGTGAGTCTCTGAGCGAGTCTCTGAGCGACTCACAGGGTGACTCACAGGGCGACTCACAGGGCGACTCACAGGGCGAGCGAGGAAGGGTTCTCAAGGTGTCTCCGCAGGAGCTGCAGGAAGGCCGCCGCTCCGTCCTGGTCCACCACTCGGCTGTCGCTCGCTAGCGACAGTGAGTCTTAGACTCTGTGTGAGTCTTAGTGAGTCTCTGTGTGAGTCTCTGTGTGAGTCTCTGTGTGAGTCTCTGTGTGAGTCTCTGTGTGAGTCTTAGTGAGTCTCTGAGCGAATCTCCGAGTGAGTCTCTGAGCGAGTCTCTGAGTGACTCACAGGGTGACTCACAGGGTGACTCACAGGGCGAGTCTCTGAGTGACTCACAGGGCGAGTCTCTGAGCGACTCACAGGGCGACTCACAGGGCGACTCACAGGGCGAGCGAGGAAGGGTTCTCAAGGTGTCTCCGCAGGAGCTGCAGGAAGGCCGCCGCTCCGTCCTGGTCCACCACTCGGCTGTCGCTCGCTAGCGACAGTGAGTCTTAGTCTCTGTGTGAGTCTTAGTGTGAGTCTTAGTGAGTCTTAGTGAGTCTCTGTGTGAGTCTTAGTCTCTGAGTGAGTCTTAGTGAGTCTTAGTGAGTCTTAGTGAGTCTCTGTGTGAGTCTTAGTCTCTGTGTGAGTCTTAGTCTCTGTGTGAGTCTTAGTGAGTCTTAGTGAGTCTTAGTGAGTCTCTGTGTGAGTCTTAGTGAGTCTCTGTGTGAGTCTTAGTGAGTCTTAGTGAGTCTTAGACTCTGTGTGAGTCTTAGTGAGTCTCTGTGTGAGTCTTAGTGAGTCTTAGTGAGTCTTAGTGAGTCTTAGTGAGTCTCTGTGTGAGTCTTAGTGAGTCTCTGTGTGAGTCTCTGAGTGAGTCTTAGTGAGTCTTAGTGAGTCTCTGAGTGACTCACAGGGTGACTCACAGGGCGAGTCTCTGAGTGACTCACAGGGTGACTCACAGGGTGACTCACAAGGCGAGTCTCCGAGTGAGTCTCTGAGCGAGTCTCTGAGTGACTCACAGGGCGACTCACAGGGCGACTCACAGGGCGACTCACAGGTCGACTCACAGGGCGACTCACAGGGCGAGCGAGGAAGGGTTCTCAAGGTGTCTCCGCAGGAGCTGCAGGAAGGCCGCCGCTCCGTCCTGGTCCACGACTCGGCCGTCGCTCGCTAGCGACAGTGAGTCTTAGACTCTGTGTGAGTCTTAGTGAGTCTCTGTGTGAGTCTTAGTGAGTCTCTGTGTGAGTCTTAGTCTCTGTGTGAGTCTTAGTGAGTCTTAGTGAGTCTTAGTGAGTCTCTGTGTGAGTCTTAGTGAGTCTCTGTGTGAGTCTTAGTGAGTCTTAGTGAGTCTTAGACTCTGTGTGAGTCTTAGTGAGTCTCTGTGTGAGTCTTAGTGAGTCTTAGTGAGTCTTAGTGAGTCTCTGTGTGAGTCTTAGTGAGTCTCTGTGTGAGTCTCTGAGTGAGTCTTAGTGAGTCTTAGTGAGTCTCTGTGTGAGTCTTAGTGAGTCTTAGTGAGTCTCTGTGTGAGTCTCTGAGCGAGTCTCTGAGTGACTCACAGCGCTAGTCTCTGAGTGAGTGAATCTCCCAGTGAGTCTCTGAGTGAATCTCTGAGTGAGTCTCTTAGTGAGTCTCTGAGTGAGTCTCTGAGCGACTCACAGGGTGACTCACAGGGTGACTCACAGGGCGAGTCTCTGAGCGACTCACAGGGCGACTCACAGGGCGACTCACAGGGCGAGCGAGGAAGGGTTCTCAAGGTGTCTCCGCAGGAGCTGCAGGAAGGCCGCCGCTCCGTCCTGGTCCACCACTCGGCCGTCGCTCGCTAGCGACAGTGAGTCTTAGACTCTGTGTGAGTCTTAGTCTCTGTGTGAGTCTTAGTGAGTCTCTGTGTGAGTCTCTGTGTGAGTCTCTGTGTGAGTCTCTGTGTGAGTCTCTGTGTGAGTCTCTGAGCGAGTCTCTGAGTGACTCACAGCGCTAGTCTCTGAGTGAGTGAATCTCCCAGTGAGTCTCTGAGTGAGT